GTCATGTAATGCCGTTTGTTTGTAGCAAAAAGAATTGCCAAGTGTTATTCCTATTGAATATGACGTCGTTTTACAGTGAGAACAAAAAACCTTGATATATGTACTAGACCCCGTATCAATATAATAAACGCACCACATATTGAAAAATGTAAGCTATTTGGTATTTAATTATTTATTTAATGTTAATAATTTTTTTTATAAAAATATAATTTATTCCTTAACAAGGTTTTAACTTTGTGCAATATCAAAAAAAAAAAACATCGACGAACATAATTTATATAGAAGAAAATAGTACACACTACCGTCAGCAAAAAAAAATCGCCAAAAATAAGCGGCTACTTCAAACCTACACTTTATTAGGTGTGCTCCGTCAAATTTTATATTTATTTATTTTTTCTTTTTAACAAACCTTTTAGTTAAAGCTTTCTATAAAGGACCATCCCTTAAGAAATAGTGGCCTACATATAGTCCTACTTAAGAAAATTTCGACAATACTGACAACATCACGCAGTGCAAAATCTTTATATTTTCTGAAAAAATAGCATCAAATTGAAAAATCGCTATATTACTTATTTATACACTTTCAAAAGTCTCCATCTTCTGATGAACTTAGAAAACTGCAAGAAAACGTGGTAGTTTCGGCGCCTAGTGGAAGGCGCGGTAAAAAAGAAGCAGACCAATCTTCATGGAAGAGTGCACGCGAAAAGCTAAAAAAAGATAGCTATGTAAAAGTTACTGTTTCAAAACTCGCTATATTAAATTTTTATATATAAAATTTGCAAAAACTACCACACTGCAATTTTGTTTTTAATGTTATTAGGCTCCTGTTTATCCAAATTTTCAGATAATGAAGAGAAATATACAATTTGGATGTTATTTGTTGTTGTAGACGTTTTTTTAATTTATGGCTTACTATTATGAAATCACATAACGCTGTTTGCAAGTGGACTACTCATTTGCGCAATATTAAAAAAAAATCAACAAACTTTCTTACAAATTTCGAACTTTTAAAAATTCTAAAAAATCAATCGAAATTTTTAGCCATTTGAAACCTGTACTATAGTCTAGTAGAAATCAATGGGCTACAAAGCTGCATACTCAGAATTTAATTAAAAAACTCGAAAATTTAAAGAAAATTTGTTTAATTTTTTTTTTTAATTGCATAAATTTTTGAGGCAGTGTCACTCGATTGGTACATTTGTACAAATTTGTAAATTTTTATATTGGCTATTGGTAAAAAAACAAAAAAAAAGGAACATTTTTTTTTGTAGTCAAAAGATTGGTACAATACAGCGATGTTCTAAAAATTCAGTAAATTAATTTTCGTGATTGGGATAAAGAAAAACATTTTGGGTGTTCACACAATTGGAATACGATTTGCACCAAATTTTGGCAAATACCCAATCGTGTGACACTGCCTTAAACTTATATTTATACGGATGTTGGTAAATAACGAACTATAAAAAACTTAACCGAAATTAAATAACAACAAAAATAATATTTTAAAACTTGTCAAAATTTGGTGCGGCTATAATTTTTTCGACTACTGTACATAAGTTGGCTATCATTACCCGGCCGTGCTACCATAGCAGCAAAATGCCACTCATATTTGACTTACAAACAAAATACTGGCAGGAATTTCCAAATTTCAATCCTGTTTTTGTGAAAAATTTTATTTTTATCAGTATTTTTCTTTTAATCAAAATATGTTGAAATAAAAGTGAAACTAAAAAAAAAAAATTGCCAGAACAAAAGAATGCCACTTTAATGTAGAAATAAAAAAAAATCAACAAACGTCTATGCCATGCAATGTGTTGAGTAAGCGCTTACACGCATAGTACATTTAAAATATTGCTTATGTGACAGCTCGCACGTCTTACTATCCAATGCTAAGTATGCATAACTAAACCTTTACCCACGTCCCTATCGGATAATTAAAAACAAAAATATTTTAATTGTCAACACCATTTTTTTGAAATATGTATGCATTTTACTTAAATATTATAACTAGTAACTTATAAGGAAATATAATTAAATACATAACTCACCTTCGGGTTCCAATTAGTTTTTCCATTCGATATATGTTTACCGCAGACGTTATTATTTTCCCGACTGCTGTTATTATTATTGTTATTACTGTTGTTAACGGCATTACCATTGCCAGACTTTGAAGACTTTTCCGCAGAGCTGCTTTTACCGTCAGCGCTCGATTTCTGTTTACTCTGAAATAGCCAATAAAAAGTGAAAATGTTTAATTCTAATTGCAGGTATGAAAGAAAATTATTCATAAGCTTATAATTGCAATACATTCATGTACATATGTATGTATGTATACTAGGGTGGTCCAAAAACAGTAACGTCGGAATTAGAATGCTCTCACCTCCCAGGATTGTTCTATATCGAAAAAAGTATACCCCTATTTTTTTATTTTGAAATCAGAAAATATTTCGAGGTCGCTCAAAGCGTTCAAAGTTTTCCATGTATTTTTATATGGGGAAAAAACAACTTTTCATAGAATTGGTATAGAATTCTAGAAAATAAATATTTTTTTAACCGGAAAACTCTTGTTCTCTTCAGGAGACTTTCAAGCATTTTTCGGGGTTTTAGTGGGTTTATGGGGGACCTATGGTTAAATAAACAATTGGGTATTATTATTGGGAAGATTTCAGATTGCAGTTTTCCGATAGTTTCCCATATAAAATACATGGAAAATTTTGTGCGCTTTGAGCGACCTCTAAATATTTTTTGATTTCAAAATAAAAAATAGAGGTATATTTTTTGGGTATAGAACATCCTGAGGGGGTGAGAGCATAAAAATTCCGACTTTACTTTTTCATATGCGTTTTTGGACCACCCTAATAAGCACTCACAAGATGTAAAATAAAAGTAAAAGTGAATGTACGTATTAATTAAAAGTATTTAATTGTTAGGTGCACAGATAACAAAATAATTAAGCATTGCACAAATAGAGCCCTGCGGGAGTTTAATAGGTAGGCACACACTTATGTATGTACATATTTACATACATACAAATGTATATGCTTGCACCCGTATGAATATTACATTTCATGTGTTTAGGAAACTACAAAAAAAAATTTAACCAAAAATAGTTGGTAATTATGGAGTAAATTGCTGATGAGTGTTGCCATGTGCTCATCTGCGCAGCAAACCGAAGTAGAGCGGTAATATAAATAGTTATGTTATGGCACATATTAAGCCAACGGAGGAAATGTGTGGTAAAGGCTAAAATTGTAATTGTTAAGGTTCATCATTGATTGCTATAATCACTGACCGTAAAGTTGCATTTTGGTGTAAATTCAGTGCCACTAGGGCAGTGCAGCAAAAGGGTTGATTGCAAAAGATAACATCTAATTTGAATGGTAAAATATCTAGATATGTATGTATGAATGTATCTGAACGAAGCTAATGAATTTATATTTATAACTTTCTTTTATGTTATTCCAAATTTTAATAACAGTTTAAAGCTTTAATTAGATTATAGTGTTTGATTACAAATATGTTCATATGTACATATGTATGTATGTGTGTACTTATTTTAAAGCAGCTTACCTACTTTTATGGAATCAACTTTGTGCAATCGTTAAAAAATCAAAATTAATTTTTGCTTTTAATCTAAAAAACACCTCCAAATTCAGGCTAAATATAAAAAATAAAATAGATAATTAATGAAGATATAAAAATTAAATTATGGGCCATTTTACAAACTTTATTAATGATTGCAAGATAGATTTCGCACTTTCTCAAAGCCACGAAAGTGGCAAGGAGAAATACAAGGAGCAACAACGCCAATATTAAAACTGCAAACAGATGTATGTAAATTAGGCGCACATATGACTTGTAAACTTTTTTTGAAAAAAAAAAAACAGGTACACATACTTCATGATTCAATAATTAAAGGTTTGCTCATTAGTGACATTAGAGTTTTGACACTCCCTTAGCTCCCTTACAAAAGCTTTGCACACACACACGAACCCACACACAATGCCTTGCCAAGGGCGCCGATTTTGTCAAGAGGGAGCGAGAAAACTGTTTTTTGAGCAAACCTTTTATTATTGAATCATGCACATACTTAGATTTTATGCAAAAAAAAAATGAATTTTATTTCAACTTATATACACTAGGCGGCAAATGAAAGTGTACACTTTGTTCTAATATAATATTCAAAATTATTTTTATGAACAATATTTTGCATTAATTATTTATGAAAATATAGTTCATTTAATAATGTAAACCATATAAATCAGAACTTCACACTTTATATAAAGTTCATAAAAATTCAACAAAATTTCGTTAAAATTTTCAACTTTTTATTCAGTTTCATGAAAATTTGCGAGTATGCACTTTTGCAGCCCTTTCAATTTTAGTAAATCAAAGTGCAAGTTTCAAGTCGCGTAAAACTATTTTTAGAATTTTTTTGTCACATTTGCTTTCATAAAAAATACACAATTATTTTTACATGGAAGAAACCCGCAACCCCCTGCACAAAAAAAGAACTATATTTTCATAAATAATTACTGCGAAAAATTTTCCATAAAAATATTTGTGAATATTATATTCGAACAAGGTGTAAGGTTAAGTAGGTAACTTAATAATAAATTTTTTAAATTTTAATTGAAATAATATTTTGTTAAGCCTCCCCTGGCCTTTATTACGACATAAACCCTGGTTGGCATGGACACGTAAACATATGGGTAATGCTTCACGGTTGGTACTACGTATTGGTCTCAATACAGTTCATTCGGCCTCATTCGTGCCACAGGTCCGAGAAAATCACCTTTTTCCATTCATCTATAGTCCATGATTTATGGGTTTTGGTCCATGCAAGTCTTTTTTTCTTCAGCAGGTTTGAGGGCAAATAATTCCAATTGGTTAAGCCGTCGGTCTACAGTGCGACTGCCTATTTGTATCGAGTGAGTGTCTCCTGGGTTTATTCATAGACGTTACAAAATCCTATACCCGCGATTGGTGTTTTTTCAGCCCTCCACTCTCCCTTCCTTCCGATTTTAAGACCGTCGTAAAGATCTCACGACCCTACAACATTCTACAGCACATTTTATTTTTGTACTGAGTACCTGAAACGAAGACGAGTTTTAAATAAAGATGTACATGAAGCTCAACGGTTTTGATTTCAAATTAATTGTGTGAACTCGGAAGTGATATGCTTTTTTTGTCGTGACTGGGGCAACTAACTAGGCTTTTGCCAATTTAAAGCCTTATACTCCATTCAGACTTAGATATTAAAAATAGATTTGCAAAATAGGTCTTAAAAACCAATTAAAATTGCAAATTGAAAATATTTCTTACTTTGTCTTCATACGAAACTCTAAGCAGCCTGTGTTTGCATATGAAGCTCAACTTGAGATCAAATCTGAATTGATCACGTGGAAAAAAGACGGTAAAAAACGTACCCACTTAGCACCATTTTCACTTCAAACTTTTCACGGGCAGTGCTGTGAGCCTAAATAAATATTTAATATTTGCATATCTAAATATAAGAAACAAGACTGTAATGGGCACGTGTCTACCAATATAAAAACCCAAAAACGAGTTCTCTCAAAAATGTGACTATTCTTGCAGCTTTCATTTTCACAAAATTTTATTTTTTTTTTTTGCATTTATGTACCTCAGCAAAACGTTATTTTTTTAACACTTGGAATTCACTCATCGTCATATTTGTCAAAAACTGTTGACACACTCCACTTGTGATGTTCGACGCTTTGTTGACACTTTACAACGTTGACATGATTTCTTTGCGTGACATTTGTATGAAGCAGTAAGTTCTAATTGTGTTAATTACAATTATGCGCTGTTAAAACGAGTTTTTAACACCTTTAGTGCGTTAGCTATGACTGCATAAATGTATATCAAAAGTAGCTGGTTGGTATTGTTCATGCGCTGATTTTTCTGAAAGGTTTTAGAGCAAGAATTATTAAAGTGTTAAATGAAAAGTTAAACATGTCTCCTTGTACAGACATATGTATGTATGTACATTAGGGTGGTCCAAAATAAATAAAGTCGAAATTTTAATGCGCTAACCCCTAGGAGTATTCTACACTGCCGGCAAAAAGTATTGGCACAGCAAATTTTTCACAATATATGCATACATTTTTTTCTAATATTTTTCCGCCAATTTTTTATAAAAATATCGTTAATTCTACAACAAAAAACATACAAATATAATTCCTAAACTTTGTGCAAACCTCCCGAAAATTCAGTAAATTTTCATGCAAAGTTTGAAGTCTTTAATCAAATTTTTAGAATTTTTTTGAGTACGCAGTTTTGCAGCCCATTAAATTCTAGTAAAAAGCTGCAAATTCGGAGTTAGTCAAAAATCGCATTGATTTTTGAGATTTTTTTTTTGTTGATGGTTGGTATGGAAGAGACTGCGTTAAAACAAATGCCAAAAATCAACGGTAATTCCTAGCTACTTAAAAGTTGTACATAATCAAAAAAATTCTAGAAAATCTAATTAAAAAGTTAAAAATTTGCATGAAAATTTGCTGAATTTTCATGAGTTTTGCACAAAGTTTAGGAAGAATATTTTAATGTTGTTTGAAAATGAACCATATTTTTATAAAAAAATTTAGAATACTTTTTGCCGCCGGTGCATATCAAAAGAAAGTGGACCCCTGTTTTTTTATTTTGAAATCAAAAAATATTTAGAGGTCGCTCAAAACGCTCAAAATTTTCCATGTATTTCATATTGAAAAAGGCAACTTTTGGTAGAAATGGTACAGAATTCTTGAAAATCAATATTTTTTTATCGGAACACTCTGTTTCTCTTCAGGAGCCTTCACATAATATCCATTTGTTTATCTAGTTTTTTTTTCAATACTAGCTGTTTTTTATGGGTCCCCCAAAAACCAAAAAAATGCAATGCACGTGCAGTTTTAGACCACCCTAAAGTTCATAAAAATTTATGTGATTCTTCATTTAAACAAGAACAAGATGCGTTAATAACGTAGTTTAAAAGAAAGTTGAAGGAAATTATGGTAAACGCATTTAAAGAAATGTGTGGAGTGAAAAATTTTAAAGCATAATTAGATAAATGGCTTGAAAAATTCTAATTCATTCACTAAATGTCGGATGAAAGTGGTACTGTATAGCGTGAAAGATAATAACTTTCGTACTTAGTTATTTGAATAATAATGTGATTAGATTTGTTTCGATTAATTACTGATTCATTCATAAACATATTAAGTCTTTAGGACATATTTTAACTGTAAGCTTCAATCTTCGTGCCCCTGATTTGAAGGACATGCTTTAAAGTTTAAACGATTGGGAACATTCTCATAGGCAGCACGGTGGAGTTTGTTTGATATTTTGTTCATTATTTTTACAAGCTTTTATTTAATTTGCGAATAAAATAAAAAGAAGAAAATGCACACACCCCGACAAAGGAAAATTCTATAAAATCAACGGTAATTTTTAGCGGCTTAAACTTGCACCTTATTATATATTATATATAAGAAATCTAATTTAAAAAATCGAAATTTTGATGAACATTTTTTTTGTTTAATTAATTTTTTTTTTAACTTTGTGCAAGCTTTGGAACTTGTATTTGTACGGTTTTTGATACAGATCGACCCATATTTTAAATTAAAATTATTACCAATAAATAAATAAACATAAGTTACCAGCAGCATCATTTTGAATTTTACTGCTTTTATTTTACTAGCAACTATACATACATACATAACGGGTGATTTTTTAAGAGCTTGATACCTTTTTTTTTAAAAAAAACGCATAAAATTTGCAAAATCTCATCGGTTCTTTATTTGAAACGTTAGATTGGTCCATGACATTTACTTTTTGAAGATAATTTCATTTAAATGTTGACCGCGGCTGCGTCTTAGGTGGTCCATTCGGAAAGTCCAATTTTGGGCAACTTTTTCGAGCATTTCGGCCGGAATAGCCCGAATTTCTTCGGAAATGTTGTCTTCCAAAGCTGGAATAGTTGCTGGCTTATTTCTGTAGACTTTAGACTTGACGTAGCCCCACAAAAAATAGTCTAAAGGCGTCAAATCGCATGATCTTGGTGGCCAACTTACCGGTCCATTTCTTGAGATGAATTGTTCTCCGAAGTTTTCCCTCAAAATGGCCATAGAATCGCGAGCTGTGTGGCATGTAGCGCCATCTTGTTGAAACCACATGTCAACCAAGTTCAGTTCTTCCATTTTTGGCAACAAAAAGTTTGTTAGCATCGAACGATAGCGATCGCCATTCACCGTAACGTTGCGTCCAACAGCATCTTTGAAAAAATACGGTCCAATGATTCCACCAGCGTACAAACCACACCAAACAGTGCATTTTTCGGGATGCATGGGCAGTTCTTGAACGGCTTCTGGTTGCTCTTCACTCCAAATGCGGCAATTTTGCTTATTTACGAAGCCATTCAACCAGAAATGAGCCTCATCGCTGAACAAAATTTNGTATTCTGGGAGTAGCTAAGTGTGTAGAGGAGCGTGCTCCTATTTGTGAGCTTTCAGGAAGTCCCAGGTTTGAGAGAAAAATTTCAGAAACTCAGCCGAAGTTATATCTGTTTTTGACAACCATAGAACGTATCGGAAAAACAACCGAAAAAATTATGAGAAAGCGGATGAAATATCCTATTTATATACGAAATCGTTTCCCTTCTCGGATACGTTTCCGGATATTTTACTGGCTGGGTTGTTATTGCAATCGATATTTTCACACACATATGTAAAAACATATATGCATTAGTTTCTAATCAAACCATATCTACCAGCTGAAATCTTCATTATGTACAATTCGAGCTTCAACGGTATTAGACATTTTAACCTCATTTCCATATTAAAATAGTGATAATAAACCGAGCTATATTTTCAAAAAGCATGAAAAATGTTAATATGGATTTATTAGCTTTTATATTTCAGTAAATAAAAACATTTTTTCGAAGAATACATATAACTGCTGACCCAGAATTCGATGTGAGAAGAGGAATTAACTGGTGATGTGTGCGAATATAAAATAAGTGTGAAATATAATTATGCATGGCAAGGTCAATAAACAAAACACGGTCACTGCAGATCAGATTCAAACTATTAAATATACATTCATATATCGCCAAATTGATTTGAGCATTGCACTTACTATGGTAGGCAATATACATATGGACATATTTTAGTTAATAGATAGCTCAACATATTTTTCTGTGGAATGTCAGAAAATCGAAATTTGCAACTCTTACTACTACAGAGAGGCACATGTCTCAGTTGCGACCGAATCTCTGCGAGTAGTTCTAGTGTTTATCGTGAATACTGACGTAGGTCAAAAAGTGTCGATCGGCCAGTGAAGTTTTTATAGGAAACGAAATTTTTCGTGTTTCCCCGTTGCACTTATTTTCGTTTAACTATTTAATTAGTCACTTATTATTTAAATAAAATAACTTTTTCAGTCTACTCCTTACAAAGTCTTTATAAAGCAGTCATAATTTAATAATAATAATAATAAAACTATTTTAGGGCTTACACTGCTGCTAATGTTTGGCCCAGCTTCTGCTCCAATACATATTTGGTGTGCGTGCATCTTGTTGTTGTTGTTACACAAATCACAAATGGAGGGACCTACAGCTTTACGCCGCCTCCAAACGGCAAATGGAGAAGCTATTTTTCATAGCAGAAATATGTACACTCGAAGGCAATGAGGCGATCACTGCTAGAAAAAACTTTTTCCAATTCACATGTTGCCCGTAGCAGAGATAATTCAGGATCTACAGGGTGGTAGTATGGTGCAGTCATAATTTGAAGCTTAAAATTTTTCCCTACAGAATAACTGCAAATAATGTATAATAATTACGTTCCAATACATATGTATGTTCATATCATACTATATTTTGAAGCGTGAAAACATGCTTACATATGTATTTTACACGTTCTTCAAAATTTGTCAATTTGGATATTATGCGCCAAAAACGAAGTTGAAAAAAATCTAAAATAAAATCTCCCGTGCCCAAGCATGCGCTTAGAAATAGATTTTTCCGTTCACTAACAAACAGGAACTTTTGATTAACTACAATTTTGAAGAACGTGTGTAATATGTATTGTATGCAGGCAAAAAAACCATACAGCGACAACATAATGCATGAAACAGCGAAGATGAACCTATTACCTGCTTCAAAAAATGGGCACCATGGCATATCTAGTAATTAATCATCGACGAAAATCACATTACCTAAGATAAATGAACATAAATTAGGGACAAATCTCGAACCAGACAGAACGAAAAATGACACTGAAGATGGCACAACGCCGAAACCGGTTTGTCTGCAAACCAAACTTGACAAGGGATGACGGAAATTCGTTCCAAAATAAATCA